CTCCAGTTTTGATTTAGGCTTTGTTTGTTTGTTTTGGTTTGAACTTTTTTTTTTTTTTTTTTGGTTTTCAAGATAGGGTTTCTCTGTGTAAACCTGGCTGTCCTGGAATTCACTCTGTAGACCAGGCTAGCCTCAAACTCAGAAATCCGCTTACCTCTGCCTCCCAAGTGCTGGGATTAAAGGCATGTGCCACCACTGCCCAGCTTGTTTTGAACTTTTAAAGGCTTATTTTATGGCTAGGAGTGTTCTGCTTACATGCCTGCATATGTATCACATATTTGCTTGCAGTGCCCACAGAGTTCAGAAGAGGTTGTATGATTCTCCCAAACTAGAGTTGCTTATGGTTGTTAAGTCAACCAAACCCAGGTCCTCTGGGAGAGCAACACGTGCTCTTAATCACTGAGATATCCCCTGCCCAGATTTAGGTTTTTATTTTGGCCACTAGATAAAACTGAAAGAGATGTTGGTGCAAATGTAAAAGAAAAAAAGACCTATTCAGTCCCTCATGATAGGAGAAATGATGGGATGGAAGGCCACTTAAGCTCACAGTGGGTAAGGCAGAGGTAGGGACTGACCTGAGGCCCCTGACTTCCAGCCCAGTGTCCTCTACTACACAGTGTATGACAGCAGATGCTTAATGAATGTCCACAGAGTGGGAAAGTGCCCAGAGTCGCTTCTGTTTTATGGAACCAGTTCTAGATCAGGGTTTTGCTTTGAGAGAAGTCCTTCCAAACATGGACAGGGCATTTTCCTCAAATTAAGGGGGTTTGCAAACTTGAGCTTAAACCCCAGGAACACAAGGGCCGAGGAATACAGGAACACAGGACCATAGGGGCCCAGGCCACCCTCTCTCCCATTTTAAGCCAGGTTCACTATGCTAGCAAGCTGTACAAGGCGTTGCAGAAAGAACTGTCTCTGGGCCCAACAATCCCAGAGTTGACTCTATAACTTTGGGCAAGGCCTTTCAGATCCTCCCCCAACTTAAAATGTGCTGATATTATCAAGCCTGCATGCTGTAGGGATCAGATTAATGATGAGGCGTGTCTGACACGTTAAATCTATGGCAAATGCTGAGCTGGGATGAGTACACTGTACAGTGTGTGACCCTTCGCCACACCTAGGGAAGGACATACATTCCATCTACCGCCTGAGGTGAGAGAGGAATATGGGCCCTCCAGCAGCATGTGCTAGACAAGGAAACCGAACGCTGTAGAGGGTAGTTTCTTAGAGACATTGCAGGGTAGCTTTTCTGAAAGACTGTAAGGGTTTCACCTTCCTTAGGAGGCAGCATCCTCCAACCTGGGAGTGAACCTGCTACTGGGAGCAGCTGAGAGCTTCAGGGCCTGGGCTCCCAGGTTGTGCTCCACAAAGGATTCCAGAGGCTGTGCTCTTGGCATAAATAGTAGTGAAGTGGTGCCAGCTCGAGCAGGCTCTGGACTGGCTAGGGAGGGGACAAGTCAGGAGGGCCAGCTAGGTAGAAGGTTCAAAGCTGGCAAATCTGAAGTGGAAAGAGCCCAGGAAAGGCATCTGTGGGCAGTTCTGAAGAGGGACTGCCCAGTGGCCCATTTGCATTTCCTGCATACTCTAGCTGTCACCTGCCAGTGTTAGAAGGAGGGATTAAAGAACTAGACCTTGTCTAGTGTGTGGGCTTAATCTCCCCTGCTGTCCGGGTTTAGCCATTTCAAGCTATCAAGTTGCCTTTCCATAGACTGCTAAAATATTCTGGGTGAGAGCTTCTCCATGAAACAACTGTAAAAGTGAACTCCAAGAAGAGCAGGTACTAAGTAGGGATCATACAGCAGGTCAGCCATAAATACGGTCTAAAATTCTGGAGTCTAGCAGTCCTCAATCCTCACCATGACTTTTGACATTAGAAGGCCAGAGTTCACACATATTTTCAATATGAAAGAGCGGACAGAGAGTACAGGTGAGTGTCTGGGAAGAAAGAGGTTTAACCTCGATCTGGCCACAGCTGGTAGCCAGGTGGTTAAATGTGTGACTTGGGGATTTAAAAGGCATGGGGACAAACTCTTGTTTCAAGCTGCATGATCTCTTGTCTTATGTGGTCTGGGGGTTAAGCGGATCTCAATGGGCTGTTGTATGACTGAATGAGCAGAAGCAGGAGAGACCTAGTACAGACGGCCCTTATTGTTTTCCCCACTTCTCCAGCCTGCCAGACATCTCGCGCTCTGCAGAAACCGAGACTACCCCTGCAGCCCCGAGAAAGGGGGCGGGTGGAGCGCAGCTTTGAGTCCCTAAGCCTGGGCGCAGCAAAACCGTGTAGCAGCAAGAATCCCGCCCACTCTAGTAGGTGCATAGGGACAGCGTCTCCACTGCAGCGTCAGAGCTTCGGGAACACAGCGCCATAGGGGTACATCTCGCTTTGTTCTGAGGGCGTCCTCCCAACCCGCCACTTCCCAGAGGTCGGCGCCCGCTCACCTACCAGGGACGCTGCTCGCCGCCGCTCGGAGCCGAGGTTCTGGACACTTCGCTCTCCCGCTCTAAAAGCGCAAGCCCACGTGGGGGCGGGGCGGCTCACCCGGAAGCGGCTCCCATACCGCCCGCCCCTAAGGGAATGCAGCCTACCCTCCCTTCGGGGCAGTCTCTGGATCCCTGGTCAGCTCGCAAGGTCAGATCCACGCTTGGCTGGAATCTTGGCCAATCCATAGTTTCCGAGGAGCCCGAGAGCCCGCCCATTCCCTCCACCCACGACCTCAGGCCTCACGAGGTGGGAAGGCCCGAGGGGGTCCGCGTGGACAGTCGGAGCCTCTGGGAGGGGCTCCGACTTGCAATCTCCAACTCATCCCAGAGTTCACTTGCCGGTCTTTTCTCAGCCTCGAGCAAAAACTGACTGCGTTGCTCATTGGTAAAAGAACAATTAGATGTCAAAGGCATTAAAACACCTCGGTAATGCCAAACGCAGCTGATAAATCCATGCTGACGGACTGAGCGCTTTAAATTTGAGTTCGGCAACAGACTGACTGTCCAGATTTATTCTACGTTATTGATTATCCAGCCCCTATCTGTCATGGGTTAAGAGATGTGAAAAACATTGAAAAAAAGCCAAGAAAACTAACCAAGTGTGATAGGATATCAGATTTATCTACAATGGGTGCGTTAAAATCTGACCAAAGGGAGTAGATTTGGTGGTGCATGCCTTTAATCTCAACACTAGGTGATACGTTGTCTCACCAAACAAAAAGCAAAAAACAAACCAAACAACACAGTTAATTAAAAAAAGAAGAACGACCAAAGGTCTGTGGAGGACTGGAGCATGGGGTCTAGAGAGGTTTTTGGGGCTTCTGCCAAGACCTGTGGTGGGTGGCAAGGACCTGAGTGGAGGGAGCCCTGGGGGAATGATTGCTTACTGGGGAGGAGGTAATAAAATTGTTTTGGAGGTAGAAGTGGGCAGTTGTGTGATAAATACTGTAAATGTTCTAAGTACCACCAGATCTTCCTTTTAAAAATGTTTTAAGGTTTGTGAATCTCATTTTGGTTTTTAATAATTCACTAGAAAAATTGGACTTCCAAGTTGTAACATGAGAAGTTGGGTGAAGGGTACATGGGAACCATACTCCTTGTAATTTTTCTGTAAATCTAAAGTTATCCCAACCATTTATAACATTTACTAAAACAAAAACAGAAGTAAGGCCAAAGGCCACTGGATCATGATCTCAGTGATCATAAATTAGCTCTAATACCCTACAGAACTTCTCTCTAAAGAGTGTCAACTTCCCATAGGTAAAAACAGGGGATGAGGGCACAAAAACATTTTTAAAGGATTTATCTTTATGTGTACAGATGTTTTGCTTGCATATATGGCTCTGCACCACCTTCCTGCAGTGACAGGTCAAAAAAGGACATGGGATCCCTTCAAGCTACAGAAGTTGTTAGCTGTCATTCAGGTCCTGGGAACCAAACCCTAGTCCCCTGGGAGAGCAGTCATTGCTCTTAAGTGCTGAGCCATCACTTCATACCCTCCAAGTAGTTCTGAATGGATTAGAACAAGAACTCTTCCACTGCCTAGATCCAGATTAGTCTCTGTTCATGAAGCACTTTGTTTAAAGAGATGAGAAACTTAGTTTGATGGAAAACTTTCAAAATCCAGATGCCGTTCGTTATAGGATGATGTAGGTGTGATTGGGAAAAAACTGATGAATGACCTCAAAGAGTCTTTCCAGATGTTGAATTCTTTACTTTAAAATCCAAGTCTCCATTCTCAGAGAAGGTTTCTCTTGGAATGTTAAAGTTTAGTTAAGGGATTAGGTAGGACAAACCAAAGACATAGAAGAGTTTGGTTGTTTTGTTTGAACATGCTAGGCAAGTGCTATGTGACTGAGCCCCTTCCATTCTTGACAGCCTTACAGTGGAGATTAGATGGTAGGATGAGCCCTTCTTACACAACCCTTGAATAACAGGTTTAACTATGGATTTGATCTCATTGAAAGCAAAGGTCTATACTAAGAAGATCTACTTGGTACATAGTATATACATTTGAAATTGAGTTCAAAGGAAGTCACAGGATTACAAATGGGACTTGACGGGTAGGTCTAGCACAGTGCTCATGGGAATTAAGAAACAATGTTTCTGCTGTAAAGGAAAAAGCCTATAAACCAGAGGACCACTGGGATTCCTTGTGAAATTTGATTTATAAATTTTACTTATGACTTGAAAACTGTATTGGAGAATATAGAGCTGTGGTTAAGAGCTAAGAGAGGCAACAGCAACGCTGCTTGATAGGAATACATACTTGGAAGTACTTAGAACAATGCTAGACACAGGGAGAGCCTGCGTGCGAGCTAGTGAGATATACAAAGTAACTGGGAAGCTCTCTCACAACCGGGTGGCTGTGGTTAAGAGCAGTGCCCTTAAATTGTGACTACTCATTCACCTTCTGGTAATAAAGAAGACACAGGACTCTCTATGTGCCTGTGTGTGAGGGTAGGGGGAAGGAGGGGGATCTTGGTGAGTCCTTTCCAAAAAGCACATTGTATGAGTCATCATTTTAAACAAGAATGTTCTTTATTTATAGAAAGCATTAAAATCTTCTCAACAGTCTCCAGTCACTTTCAACAAACTCTTCCCTGTATTTCCCTGACTAGTAAACAGTATCCAACTATATTACATCACCTGCCAGCCTCAAGTGCACAACAAGATAGGAAAAGTGCTTGGGGCACTAACTAGGGAAAGGAAAGGCTAACAGTTCAAAGCTACAGCAGTGGTGCTGCATTCCTGAGCACCATTTCTCTAACCTTATGGTTCAGAAGTGTTTCCCAATTCTCTTTAAAAAGACAGGAGATTAAGACTAAGAAATCTGAGAACCTTGTACTTTGGGATATGACACAGGTTATCAAAGTCCTTAGACTAGAAGATGAAATAAGAGGGGAAAGAAGGTCTGGGAAGCAGAGGCGGGAGAGATGGAGACAGAACAGGCTATGCCTGGAGGAGATGAAGTCTCTGGAACCTGTTATGAATTCAGGGAATGAAAAGCAGCAGCCACAGTCTGGGAGATGGACTAAAGAGGAAATCTGGGATTTTACTACCTTCCAGGAGGCGGCACTAGGTCCTACAGTGGCAGGCACTGAGTTACCTCCAAGATTAAGCCATCTGCTTTTAAGAATTGGCACCCTTTCTTGACAGGTTCTAATCAACACTCAGAATTTAAGAGTATATGTCATAGGAGTGTAGCCACCCCGGACGACTGAGCATCTAGAGTCAATAAAGGACTACAAAGCTAAGTAAGTCTCAAAAGCCAGAAACCAAGTAAGCAATGCTACCACCAAGTGCAGAGATTTCCTTATTCTCTTAGTTGTTTTCTAAAGAGCAACCATTCTGAGCATTAATACCTATTGCCAATTACTGTACAAACAGGTGACCATGATCAAAGCCCCATTTTCCCCCCTGAGCCTTTAGTGCCTCTGTGACTTGGAACACAGCAGGCAACACGGATGTTATAACTTTTTGGAGAGGCAGGGAAATGGGATCAAAAACTAGCTAGCCATATACTTTAAGTAAACAAGCAACACCAAACTATGTAGTCATTCAGAATCCCTCATACTAAAAAGTCATAACCTGCAGACTGAGGAGCAAAACAGGTTTCTGTAACTCAGATGCTCGGAGTCTGGGAAGAGCTGATCTTTCTGGTCAGTTTTTTATTTTGATCTCGGGCACCAGTGCCAAAAATGGCTCTGCCTTGCAGGGAGAGTCTTCACATAAACACATCTCAGGCCCTCAGGGTCCCTTCCACCGTGCCACAGTCTCTCTCCATTCAGTTGTCTACGTCCTCCTCCTCGTTCTGTTCTTCCTCGTCCAGTCTTTCTTCATCGTCATCCTCCTCCTCCCTGCTTTTGTCTTGCTCTTCAGAATCTTTTCTGTCTTTGTCCTTCTTTTTTTGCTCCGAAGCTTCCTTCTTGCCTTTCTGCTCCTGCCTATATGCTGTAAGGAGGCAGATTATTGTTTAATTAGACAAACCAAGGCATAGGCGGAATAACCAGCCCCATATATCACATATCTGAGATGGTACCAACTAAACAGAGTGGAATCATGACCAGTCCTGGATTATTGAATGGGATCTAATGGCACCGATACTGAAATCAGGTGATCAGGGAGCAAAGGATGAACATTTTTCATATTAAGAAACAGAAGTGCACAGTGCACATGGATACCTTCTAGAGCTTCTTTCAATGGTGTTATGAACCGCTGGAACTCCATCTCTTCCATGGCTGACAGCACATCACTAGCATTGAGAGTCTTGCGCTTTCCTTTCATTGCGAAGTTATTGGCACTGGAAGAAAGAGCAAAGCCCTTCAAAAGCTGTCAAAGTGGGCGGGGACACGAGACACCCAGAGATGGGTGGGAAAAGCCATCTTTATCTTAGATGAATGGATTTTTGTGTGACACGGCTAAGTTCATCCCTTCCCCATACAAAGGGCTAAGGCAGCCGTCTTGTTTAACCTGCTTCAGAATTTGTGAGACCTAGAGGAGAGCTGTGAGTCGCTCTCTACTCAGGCAGGGAACTGGGGCCTGTAGGTTCCAGGCCACGAACGCGAGGTCAGGATCCCGCTGGGCCTCCCTTCCACCTCTGCTCGGCTCACCAGGATGTGGCATACAAAACGAAGACACTGGCGGCGCGGGAGATGGCGCTTCGGGCCTCCTTGGAGATGTTGACACCGTCCGGGAGCTGCGAGGAGAGTGGAAATGAACACACGCGGATTCTATTAACCTTCTGCCCTCACGTCCGTCCTCGACCCATTCGCCAGCCCGAGCAGCTCACCGCCTCCTTGATGATCCTGGTAATGACGGCGTTGGGCAGATTTAGGTCCTCAGGCCTCTCCGCCATCGCCTCCGCTGGTGCCCGACCCTCCTTCTCAGGTCTCCTCTTCAGACAGTTCTGGCGTCTGGACTTCCCGCGTCGCTAAGATATAACCCTCGGAGGCTTCCGTCCTAACCCACGTTGCCAGTGTCCCACAGTGCTTTGCGCACCACCTCTCTGCTACATCAACCTCGCCACAAGTCCCTAGTGTAGCCCAGCTTTCCGTGTCGCAATGGTTTCGGACCATTGAGGTTTCCATACACCTCCACCGCATCCCGGAAGTTCCACTCCAGGCTTGTTTCTTTACTACATACTGTCACCATCACTGGAGCGTTCGCACCAAACTAAGTTTGACTCTCTGAAGTTTCCGTCTATTCTCCCATCCTGCTGTGCGCCGCTGCTAGGCAACCGTGCGGCCTGGTGCCTAGTTTGGAAAGGGTAGGCGTAGACTGAGCCCGGAGAGGCGGGACTCGGACTGCCGAGTGGGCGGGGCCTCTCTAGAAGAGGCGGGCGGGGCCAAAGCTTCGGAGCGCTTTCGCAATCTCAGCATTGTCCCCCAGAGGCTCAGAATTTAGCCCTTTGGAATCTGCTTTGATCCTGTGAAATCGCGGACTACTGACACTTGAGTGGCCCTTCCCTCCCCCCTCCTTTTTTTTTTCCGGCTCGGAACTCAGTGTAGATTTTCATTCAGTTTTACTGCACCGATTGATGCAGTAGACTTGTCCATTTTTAATCTTATTCCCTTCATGACTTTGTGATAATTGTATTAAGGATAAGTGTTATCTAAACTTTCGTTAAAAAAATGCCATTACTTTACTAGAACAGCGGTAACGAGGGCGATATCAAAAGACGCCTGATGAGACTTCGGAGCTCAATTGGGACTGGTTCGGTACTGAAAGGGCAAGAAGCATTTGATTGTAAGAATAGTGCATTGTATTCTTATTCAAAATACCATGTTAAAGTTGTATTTTTAATTCATTAGTGATTCATCGTACATTTTTTCTTATCAAAATCATCACTTGATTTTACATTTATAATGTCTCTTTAAGTTGTATAATTTTCGTATTAAGTACAGAAAAAATACCACTGAGAACTAATGCTGGATTATTTCTTTTTTCCCTTCCTTCCTTCCTTCCTTCCTTCCTTCCTTCCTTCCTTCCTTTCTTTCTTTCTTTCTTTCTTTCTTTCTCTTGTTAAAACATGTTGTTCCAAAACTTGTTTTTCTATTTTTGATGGAGACATTACAAAGAAATATTTCCCTATTTGGAGAAACAAAACAACCCAACAGGGCTGGGATGATGAACAGTGCTGAGGGATTGTTTTGGTGGAGAGAACTGCCCTTAGAACAGCCCTGATTTAAAGATGTCATAAGCCTTAGTTCCAGCCACTATTTAGCTAGATCTGGTGCTGACAGGCATTTTGATCTAGGAGAGAAGCTAGAAACCTAACATTATGGACCATTACAGTTTTTAAGACACTGGCTCAAAGTGCCTGCTAAGCTAAATTTTTCCTAGGCCAAGTGCAGCTCAGGACACTAGATTCCTATCTCTAATTTAAATTAGAAGCTGTTTAGAATAGCGAGTTGTTTATTGCTATTCTCTATGCCCTAAGCATATCTCACATATTTGACAGTCAATAAATGTGTTGACTAGAAGAAATGGACAATGTTCTTAAAAGTTAAAAAGGGGACAGGGTGAGATGGCTCAGTGGATGAAGACACTTTTGGGTTGAGGACTGTAGTCTCTGGGCTCACTACAGGATGACCTTCCTGATAACTTTCACATGTGTACCATGGTACCCCTGCCTACCAAGTAAATGAATAAAATGTAATTCTATGTTAAGAGAAATAAGGTAGTTGTAGTGACTGTATAATATCTTTAAAAGAGAGATTGATAATAGTTTGATATAATTTTATTTGTCTCTATGTGTGTATAATGTATGTACATATATGTGTGTGATACACATATACATATATGGATATTCACATGCCTTACCATGGTGTTGGTGTGGAGGTCAGAGGATAACTTTGGAAGTTGGTCATTGCCTTCTACCTTAAGACAGGATCTTTTTTGGGCTATTCATGGCATCTTATGCCAGGCTAGCCCATAAGCTTCAGAGGATTCTCTGCTTTCTGTTTTATAGTAGGAACAATGGGATTACAGATGTCTGCTGTGCCTGGCTTTATGTGTGTTCTGGACATTTGAACTCAGGACCTCATGCTTTGCCTTCCAAGTGCTTTAGCTACTGAGGCCCGATAATATTTACTGGGTCCTTGTTATATATCATACATAGAAGTTTATATCTTATGTGATGTGTCTACAATTTTAAATGTAGTTTTTAAAGATTTATTTATTTTATGTGAGTAAACTGCAGCTGTCTTCAAACATACCAGAAGAGAGCATTGGATCCCATTACAGATGGTTGTGAGCCACCATGTGGTTGCTGGAAACTGTACTCAGGACCTTTAGAAGAGCAGCCAGTGCTCTTAACCACTGACCATCTTTCCAGACTGAGAGATGGCTTTTTAAAGTGGATCTCTTGCTGGAAGCTGGCTCCTTATTTTTCCACTGTTCATTTACTGGCTTAGCAACCTGATTCAGGTGACAACTCTACACCTTCGTTGCTTCAAATATCAATACAGGCTTCCTGAAGGCAAATAGGATCAGATGACTTTGGTTTTTTATTTTTAGAACCTAATATTTTATGTATTAGTGATATTTCTTATAAAATGATAATTCACATTCTTTGGTGCATCTGTCTCATTTTTCTTTATTGGTTTGTAAGTTTTTGTTGCTGTTAATATTTGCCATGTATATCACAAATTTTTAAAACTTTCCCCCTTTTTATTCAGGATTGAGCCTGGGGCTACATATGCTTCTACAAGTTTTACAAAAATAATTTAAAATTTTTTGAGATCATAATATAATTACATCATTTTCCCTTTCTTTCCCTTCCTCCATACCCTCTCATGTACCCTCCCTTCTCCTTTTCAAATTCACTGCCTCTTTTTCTTTGTTATTACACATAAACACACACACACACACACAAATACAATCTGTTCAGTCAGAATAGTGTTATTTGATGTATATTTTCAGGGCTGATCATTTTGTATTGGATGATCAACTTGTATGATCTTCCCTGGGTAAACTATTTCTTCAGATCTCAGTATTCCCTAGTTGCCTGTGGTTCTTTATCTAGGGCTGAGGCCTCCTTAGCGTTCCTTCTCTGTTGGCATGTCCCTTGGCATTGTCCTTGTTCAGCTCATGTTTAGACAGCTATGTTGGTGGACTTCATGGTTGTAGCTTCTGACATTTACAGTCTCACAGCAGAACCCTTGCTCCTCTGGCTATTCTCATCTTTCTGCCCCATCTTCTACAATAGTCCCTGACCTTAGATGTAGGAGTTGTGTTCCTGATGTATCCATAGGGACTAGGCTTTATAACTGCATTTTGGTTGGATGTTGTTTTCAGTAATGGTCTCTGTCAGATCCAAAGAGAAGTTGCCTTGATGAGGGTGAGGACTGCACTTATCTGTGGTTATAAGGATGAATATTTGGAGTGTAGTTAGGGATTGTGCTGATTTAGTAAATGAGTGGTTATAGATTCTCCTTTAAGATCCATGACTTCACTAGCCCTGGGTAGATGACTAGGCTTCCAGTACCGGGCATGAGTTCCCACTTGTTGAGCAAGGTCTTACTATCTATTAGAGAGTTGTTGGTTCCCACCAAGGTATGCATGCCTCTATTGCACACTTAGAGGTATGGCACAGTGACGGTCATTGATGTGGTTTGTAGGCATCATAGCTGGGCAGTACTATTGGTTGCTTCCCTCCTTTGGAAGCTTGAGTAACACCTTCTGGTACCATGAAAGCTAGTCCTCAGGGAGGAGGCTTTCAGGTTAATCTGAGCTCCTTGTCTGAAGTGTATTGTGTCTTCAGTAATAAGGACTTACTTCCCTCCTTTATAGCCTAATAACGTTTTGGGAGTCTCTTGGAAACCCTGACCAACAACTAAAAAGGCGGCTTCTCATGCCCGGTGTTGTGGGTTTTGTTAGATGGTCTATGGCTGTTACAGTGAGCATTCTCAGCTCAGATGGGGAATTTTACTTAAACTGTATATGTGTGTTTATATGCTGACTTGTGTGTATTATAGGTATTTTTAAGTAGATAGTCAAAGTATGATTCCCTGTGACTATTTTAGACACTCTCCTGTTATTTTATCCTCTCTCCCCCTGTATTTATTTCCCTTCCCTTCCTCATCAGAGCCCCTCATTTCCCC